CCTACGCCCTTACGNGTTCGCGTCGACCTCCACGACACGAGAGAGAGAGAGAGAGAGAGAGGAACAACAAGATTTCGATATTTCTGGAATAATTGGAAAGATTGGAAAGGAAACTCAACGCTTCTTCGAGACACTGACATTCTGCCCCCTGCGATCGGTGGTCTTTGTGTGCTGGCCCCTGAACCTAAGACCCCAAAAGTGCTTGAACCCACAGTGGTTCCTGCGCAATACAACATTAAGAAGCACTCAAGATTAAGAAAAATGAGTCACATTTTGTAAGTCATGATCATGACTGTGGACATGCCTCTTCACAGAGGGAGACACAAACAGAGACTAGAAGAGCTTCAGGTATTGGCACAGTCAAGGGGGCTTAAAAGCTTTTGATGGATTTGGTGAGTGAAGAAAGTGGACTCAGGGTTTCTGCGCATATAACACAGTACTCAAGAGCAGTGTAGGAAAAATTGAACAAGAACAACTAACCTGACATGGGGCCGGAAGTGTTCAACAAATGAGTAATAAAAAGTGAAAAGAAAAAGACAAAAGGACATGTTCACAATTTTCACTATGAAGAGAATCACAAGGAACAAAAAATGACAAAATTCATGATACTGGAGACCATTAAACAACATTTTCATTACACAATAGGTCCATTATGACTCAGACATTAGGATGATAAAAATGATGGTACATACATAATGTAGCGCATAGTAAAAAAAAGCTTACATTCATGTGACTCCATTTAAATGAATGCTCCAGTTGTAGATGGTTACATTAAGATCACAAGACTCAAATGAGTCCCAGAGTTTTTTAGAATGGCAGGTCCATGTACTGATACTCATACTCTTGAAAAGGTTCAGGTCTATTACCATTCCAATATCATTAGAACTACAATCATTAGAGCTGTTGAGCATTTTAATAGTATTATGAATGGGAAAATATTATATTCCTATGGACCATGAAAAAACGACATTGGGTCATACCTCCCAATGAAAACATTGACAGTGATGGACATACACTAAAAATTGGGCTCATGTCATGTTTTGATAGGTCCCACTCTCTCCATATGTAATTAGTTAATTAATTCAACAACCTTATGAACTATGGGTTTTCTATAGGAAAGAGAAGGGGGGGGGGGGGAGAGGGGGGGTCTTTACTCACTTATTTAGTCTTTGGGTTTGAAAACTCGAAGGAGCATAAAAAGATAATTATCTACAATTAATAGAACATGAGCTTGTTCGAACCATCCAAGACACCTTGCAAATAGTAACAATCGCATGATGTCATCAACATGCGACCTTGTATTGAATAAAATAAAATTACATCATGAGTGCCTGGGCACATCATTTAAATATGCATCATCATCATCATCATCTGAGCTCTATCCCAACTATGTTAGGATCAGCTACACGAATCATGTTCTACTATTCTGCTCTATCAAGGGCCATAACCTCAGTTAGAGCCTTCCATTTGAACTAAATCGTGGTCATTTAATCCAAAGCAAATCCAAAAATCTGTATTCAAACAACTTTGCTTATCCATGGAAAGATTCTTTAGAATATATTAAGTATTTAGCCAAATGTCATTCATTTATCAGCCATTAAAATAATTGGGCTGTCAGTTTGGAAAAAAATAGGATTGGGGGTAACAAGTTCAATGAATTCAAACATAAAAAAGAAGGATCCATAAAACTATGTAGACTATCACTAATTATCATTGCATTTGGAATTTCCAATCCAGTATGATTTTGATTTACATCATAGTCTATCTGATTAAAGAAGCATTGAGAAACTAAGAGTCAAATAAGCATTCCCATTTTTAGTAAATAATTGGACAATCAAATGCCAAATGTCTCAAGTCATAGATAATCACCTCAAACTCACCAAATGCCAGAAGGCATATTTGCTCTACAGAAGCAAACAAAAGATTTATTGAGAAATTTTCTCATATATGATAACCAAAAATGATAAAGATAGAAAGGGGGGTCAAGAGAGAAGTTGATAAGAAGAGGAGAGAGGGGAGAAAGAAAGGGGTACATCCAGGCAATAAATCCGCATTCACTCAGGTCTAGATTCCTCACATGTCAGAAAGGTCAAGATAAAGACGGTGGGAGACTATCAAACCCACAAATCCTTCATAAGTCAGAATGAAACAACTTAACAACAAATCAAGTACACGAAGAGTTTCAACATTGAATCAAGAAAAGTTGCTCTTCTATTCAATAAGGGGGTCAATCTCCTAACTTGAATGGAGATTGATGACTCATTTTTTCCCAAGAAGGTGTCTTTCGCGGCTTGGTAGCTCTGATGTGGGATGGAGAGTAGTGAAAGAGGGGGCTTTGTAAGGCAACGAGAAAAGTCAAATAGTGGAGATCGAGATAGAGTGGGCAGGGGCGACCAAGACTGGTAGAAAACAGGGGAGATGGAGGAAGACATGGAGAGTAGGATGTCAAAGGCAACATGAGTAATAGAGCTTGGCCATGCCAACAAGTTCTATCATGAGACAAATATCATTACGGAAGGAGATGGAGTAACAGAGAACCGGAGGAAGTGCATAAATCAACGATCATTGCTCTTTTAGTCCACCCAGGGAGTACTTGAATGGATTGAGAGAAGGATGCTCTAAAACTTGGGGATGTGATATAGTTTGTAAGAAGATTCCAGGCAATAGAACTTTGTTGATGCCAAGGGAGTTTTCAAGCTGGGATTTTGGAGGTTCAACAATTCTTTAACATCATAGGAGCGGTGGTCTCCAAAATCAAGGCATTCGTATTAACCCCTCAGCTATGTTGGCTAGGGATTGAACGCATTCCAATTCATGCTTAAGAAGTTTTTAGAATAATTGCTGCTGAATGTTAAAAGTTACTGTAGATGGATTAGAAAACATTGGGCGGCTGTTATCCGAGGCTATTAATGATCAAGATTCAAAAGTTTACTGTAAAAGAGATAGCCAAAGACAGTCCTAAAATGTGGCACGGGGCTTATTTCACATCCAAGTAAGGAGATCAGAAGAAAGAAGCTAAAGGTGTTTCAAAAACTAAAGATATGGAAGGAATGGATGTGTCGTAGAAGAACAGGGCTGGAGAAAGGTTTCTAGAAAAAGAAACAGAATGTCCAGCATGGAAGCAATGTTGAAAAGGGTACCCAATGTCATCATATTTGGTCCCCGCTCTACTTTTTTAAGTATCATCATAATATCAACATTATTTTGATGTCCCAAGAAACCATTTGCATGGAATGCAGGACTTGTTTGTAAGCTAGATTTTGATATGGTTATTTTTTTATTTGTTGTTTGCTTCGCAAATCTAAATGAAAATGCTTCCGATGTGTTACTTCATTTCT